CACTGCTATCCTCCTCCTCCTCTTTGCCAAGGGTTGTTCGTCCATTTCTTCAGATTCAGACGAAGATGGATCCTCAGGACGAACAGGTGCTTTCCCTTCTCTCCTTCCGCTCCCTTCCTCGGACTGCAGAAATGGGGGGCAGCAAGGTGTGAGTAAAAAAAAACAAACAAACAAAACAAAAAACAAACAAGGAAAGAGGCAAGGAGCTTACCAAAACCCTCGGCTGAACTCCAGAAGTAGAGGTACCCTGCTCGGCAGCACCAGACGTTCCTACACCTCCTTCCAAGGAGTCAATTGCTCGGGACACGTCTTCGGCTGTCTGAGCAGCCTGTGCTTCTTCAGGTAATAAGGGACGGAGGGGGTCTCGCTTCTCCCACCAAGGCTTCTGCTTGGTGTAATCTGCGGCAGCCTCGATCTGAAGGCTCGTTTCTTGCAGATGCAACGGACGGTTCTTTGGAGCTGTGATCGCTGGAGCCCGGTCTAAGATGACTCGTTCAGCGTTCACCCCAAGCCGATTGTAGTCAATACCTGAGGTAGCTTCGCTCAGCTCTGAAAGGGCAAGACGAAGGTTAGACTGAGGGAGTAGGCATTAAAAATCAGCAAAAAATTAAAAAAGGCAAAGTCCTCGGCCCCAGCCGAAGATACTTACCATCCCTGTACTTTCGGCTGAGGCCGACAACCGCCAACATCTTCTCTTGAAAGACGTAATGGTTATCTAGAAGCCATCTGGCCGGATGAATCTCATTCAGCCAACTCCCCCAGGGTTATCCTGCTTCCCGAAGAAGCTCATTTGCTCGTAGCTAGGGTGACGAGCGGCATCAGGGTCTTCGGGGCCCAGATCCTGCATGTTCGGATCGGGCCTAGAGAGGTATCGGGGAGCCCCGAAAAAATAAGGGTGCTCCGGATCAGCGGGAGCCCTTACCCAGACTCACTGACCTCTCCAATCCTTATCCGAAGAATCGTTCGGCCACATAGTCAAATATTGGGGGCGGCTCTGTATTCGCCACCAGCCTGAAGACCCGTGCCGGCCGTACGCGCTCTGGATGTTCTGCACTAGCTGATGCATCCTTCGGAAGCAATGCAAATTCGGTTCAACGGCAAAAAACCGGCACACCCAGAGATAAGTCATCACCCGCCGAATGCTGACAGGTGTTAGTTGGCACAGGGAGATCCTGTAATTTATTAAAATATCCCTGACGAAGGGATCCAGAGGGAACCGAAGCCCATATTGTAATTGCCGAGTGTACACCCCTATGTACCCAGGGGGGACGGTGAATCCTGTCTGGCGGCGAGGGCATTCGGCACCAATACCCATCCTCCTCGAAGATGCCGTAGTGCAACTCTATTTGCTCGGCAAACCGGTAGGCCTCGGCATGCCGAACCCACCAAGGGTAAGGGGTATTTCTCACCATGGCGCGCTGAGCTTCGGCATCCTACCATTCAGCATGTCCAGGGAGCAAGTCCCAAAGTACAGCAGGCAAATCCTCGGCCTGCCCAGCCCACTCTCTCTGCTCAGGCTGCTCTGCCTCGCCGACCCCGGCGTCCTGCTGGGGCGGTGCGGCATTCAAAGGAACGACCGGAATTCCCCTCTCCGGTTCCTCCCCGACTCGTTCCCCGTTCCAAACATCGGCGCGGTCTCGGGGGTCCCCAGCCTGACCCCGTCGACCGGGTTGACGCCCTCTTCCTCGAGCCATAACCAAATTCGAAGAAGAAAAGTAGGAAAAAGAGGAATTCTCTCAAAAAGGCAAGAAAATCAAGAGAAACTCGAAGAAATTTACCTTCAAATGGGTCGAAATGCGCCGGTCACACTACAAAAAAACAAGGCACATTTTGACACTTTTTTGTACATATATTGACCTTAAAAAGCGTCATAATTTTCTATTTTGACGCTTTAAAAAGCGTCAAAATTTTTGAAGCCAAAATATTTTGACGCTTTTTTGTGTCAATTTATAAGTATAATATGTCGCTTTTGTGTGTCATTGCTAAATTATTATGACACTTTTTTGTGTCCTTACTAAAAAATTATGACACTTTTTTGAGTCATAACTATCAAATTATGACACTTTTGTGTGTCAAATTGGGGCTGAATTTCCCACCATTATTAATGCCCAAAAATTGTGACGCTTTTGTTAGTCATTATTAAAAAAATTGTGACACTTTTTTGTGTCATAATGATGATATATTATTTCACCAATTCAAATACCACCAATAACTTTGATTCATAAAAGCGTCCCTATGTCACCCCCCCCCCCTTTTTTTTTGGACGAAAATTGATAAAATTTTGTTAATGAAGTACTTACATAAAACTTTGAACAAACAAAATAATAATAATATATAAAATCATAATTGATGAAAATGTATTTACATAAAAAAGTAAATTATATATAGAAAAAACACACACATATATATATACATATATATATAAATCCGTTAACATAATAACGTTATACATCCAATTCAACTAAACAAGTTTAGTATTTGAATACAAAGATATATAGATATTTTCCTAAAAAAAGATGTTCAAACTAATTACACACAACGCTATCAAAGCTACTAATTAAATACCCACACATATATAATAAGTGCTTGAAGCCAAATCACGCTCTTCATTTACTTTTTACCATTGCTGCCTACATCATCAACAACCTGCGAAGAAAATTTCATATGTGAACAATTATTGTAGTATGGTAGTAGTATTGCAAATTTAGAGAAGTTAAACAGAAAATATTAACCATGGAGGAACGTAAACCAAGCACATAATTGTCCAGTGATACGCCTAGCTAACAAGAATTTTTGTACTAAATAGTCACTTTCTTCCACAACACAAGTAATTAACCCATTGCTAGCAATATGAGAAAACGACAAATCAGAAAAAGAACTAGCAATAGATAAAATATCATCCAACAGCAAACTAAAGGGATCAAACCCCTGCATTCGCTGCTTGACCACGCACAACAAGCTGGGCATCGCTTTCAATAATCACTCTGCTGTACCCCAACCTGCACGCCAACAGCAGCCCATATCTGCAAGCAGCAGCCTCGGTCAGAGAAGGAACCCACCCCGCATGCTTTGTGTCTTGGAAATTTGGAAACAAAATACTTACTTGTAAATACTTACTTGCACTTAGGGTGTTGATCACAACCTATAAAATAGCCTGCACCATATCTGCTAACTTTGAAGATCAGAGTACCCTCCATACAACTGGGGCATGATCGACTCTCTTCGGGAAGTGAGGAGAAAAGGAAGTTATCATAAGTTCTCTCCAGCATCTTCTCCACCTGATGGATGTGAACTTTGCCAGCTCGCTCACAGTAAGTACTGAACCTGCCCCAATAATCCTTAAGGAGACCTTTCCATTCAGTGGATCCAGCAGAAACATTGTCAAGCTCAGTTTCCATGTCAGCGGTAAGGCTATAATCTGTCACCTCATTAAAATAATGAGAGAGAAAGGCTGAGACGATACGACCACGGAATTCAGGGGTTAGAACTCGGCTTTTTGCTGTTACATATTTCCTATCTTGTAAAACTCTCAGCATGCTTGCATATGTTGAAGGTCTTCCAATTCCAAGCTCCTCCATCTTCTTCACCAACGATGCCTCAGAGTAGCGAGGTGGAGGCTGAGTATGGTGCTGTTTTGTTTCCAAATTTCCAAGACACAAAGGATCACAATTAATTTTAACCCAACCTTCCACGAAGATACAACAGCAGTGAGCATTGCAGGGGGCTTGAACACCCTACTAGCATACTCCCCATAATCAGAAACATACTTCATCATTCTCGCAGCAACCATATGTAATTTTTTAATTTTCTATGTATGGTAAATATTTTTTTTACTGTATTCTTTATCAATCTAGCTATATAAAATGACTAACTTTCAAACATTTACCTAAAACGTACTAACTTGCCTCTAACTAACACAACTTCTCCTTAATCGAACCTAAAACCACCTAAAACTAGCAATCCTGCAATGAACCCACAGCCACCACCAGTTAGCAGGGGACAAAGGCAGCAGCAGCAGCAGGGGAAAGTAGCAGCAGAAGCAGGGGAAAGTAGCAGCAGAAGCAGGGGAAAGGGAAAGGCTGACAACACTTCTCCACCAAGGGCAGCAGTAAATGTAAGCAAGGGAAAGGGGAAGGCTCACAACAGATTCTACATACGATTTCTTATCAATCTTACCAAGACAGCAAGACCCTACAGATTTTACCACCAGTAACCCAACCCTCTGCTCTACAACTCCCGACCCAAGCGACAAATCCAACACGACTAAGTTTTTGAGGAAGTTCCCATCATAACAAGACTTGCCTATCTAAAAAAACAGCCAATGCTGCCAATCCTCAACTGATACACTTTTGACTTCTTTCATAATTTTGTTTATGTCAGAAAAATTAAAACATAAAATTCTTAATGGTGCATTATAAGAGTGAAAAAACTGCACAAGCAAAGCCATAATTTCCACAGCATGTAATTCTAAGTAATTCCTCTTACATTATTCATGCATGCAATTTTAATCTTGCCACAGATAATGAAAGGAAATTTAAAAAAAAAAGGAAGCGGATGAAAAAAGAAATGGTTTATTCCAAACCTGAGAATCAAGTAGTTGTATTGCATTATCTATAACTTCTGATGAAACATTTCCACTACGTGTTGCCTTCAAAACCTGTGCCATCATAGAACCAACTGCATCAAATTTTGTGTTCAATATTTGATTTTGTTCAGCAAGATCCTCATTTTGCTTCTTCATATCTAACAGTGCAACCTTCAACTTCTCCACTTCCATATCACTATTGTTGACATAATAAGACCCTTCTTTCCTTAAATGTCCTTCCACTCCAAAGATGTCGCTTTGCTTCACACCAAAGCCATAATTTAGAGGACGCTTAGGGATCTCGCCTTGATACATAAGTTGATTGAAAACTTCATTTTCAATATCAACCTTGGGAATGGAAGAAGAGGAGTTATCAAGGCTTTCTTGCACCTTCTTGGTTGCATCCTCCTGTTACATGATAAGAAAACTATAAACCTTGGCAAAGAGCTAATAAATTAGTGGTTAAACTAATTTTCATTGGTATATATACCACAAACTGACGAGATGTTGTGCCCTCTTTGAAGCTTCCATCTCCTTCGCTGTAAACACTTTTAAAAAACTCCAATTCACTGAAATCTCCTTTTTGTTTTTTCTACAATGTGAGAAACACACAAATGTCAGACATTTAACTTCTGCTATTTTAAGTCTTTTTCTATGTGCATCATAAGCATCAAAAGCTCCCAATACTCCAAATATTGTCACACACATTTTTTTTTATGTGCATTACATCTAGATTATGCCTCAACAAATTATGCTCCCAATACTCCAAATCATAAAATATGCTTCTCTTGGTACCAATGACAACATCTTCTTCATTGTTAGCCTCATTACCTCTCTTTCTTTTTGATGCCTTCCCATAAACATACCCAACCTTTTCTTGTAGCCCCAATATGTCAGTCCCACTAGGCCGAGGTGGAGCTTCACCATGCTCTTCGCTTCCATTGAAACTGTCACTCTCAAATCGATATGGATGACATGATGGAAGCCATTTTCGATACCCACAATAACAAGTCTTACTCCCAAATTTTACAGAAGGAGTCGAATCAATGCATATAGGGCATGCCATATAGCCTTTGGTGCTCAGACCGGAGAGCATTGCATAACCAGGAAAGTCATTAATAGTCCAAAGCAAAGCGGCTAGCAATTTAAATTTCTCTCCATCATAAGCATCAAAAGCATCAACCCCACTCCATAACAATTTCAATTCATGAACTAGTGGTTGCAAATACACATCGATGTCAATTCCGGGACTTGTTTTACCGGGAATGATAATAGACAACATGAATGAAGATGGTTTCATACATAACCACGGTGGAAGATTATAGGGAATCAACACCACAGGCCATGTACTATAAGTCGTGTTCATCAAACGATATGGATTAAACCCATCACTTGCAAGTCCTAATCGAACACTACGAGGATTTGAGGCAAAATCCTCATAACGTTGATCAAATGATTTCCAAGCTAATGCATCTGAAGGGTGCCTTAACATCTTCTTATCAACATCATTCAATTTATCATTATGAGTATAATGCCATCGCATATCTTCTGCTGTTTTTGAGGACATGTAAATTCTCTTCAGTCTAGGGATAAGAGGAAAGTAACGCATTACCTTAGCTGGCTCACCACTCCTAGAAATAGTCTTATCTTGATCTCTGACATTATCATTTGTACCCTTATTTTTCTTCCATCTTGATGTACCACAAACATGACACTTGTCTTCCTTTGAAAAATCACCCCAATACAACATACAGTTATTTGGACAAGCATCAATCTTCTCATACCCAAGGCCAAGGTCTTTTATTATTCTCTTACTTTGATAATAAGACGAGGGGAACTCCAGAATTTGGGGAAATGCGTCTATGAGAAGCTCGAGTAGCATATTAAAGGATTCAGCAGACCAATGGCTCATACATTTTATGTGAAAAAGGTGTAAAAGAAAAGACAGTTTGGAAAATTTAGTACACACGTCATACAATTTCTCATCAGAAACATCAAGTAATTTCTTATACTTAGCTTCATCTTCCGTTGTTGAAAATTCTAAATCAATCTCCTCTTCATAGAAGACGGGTTCTTCAAGATACTCGTCATTTTCATTATTTTCATGTGGTTCAAAGGTTTGGTCATTTGAGGGTTTTTCAAAACTAAAAGCAGATCTCAATAGGCCTCCCATATCATCTCGACCTTCAAACCTTGTTTGATCTAGAGGGGATCCTTGGATAGTACTCCCTCCATCACACCCAATCATACGCTGAAGCAAATCCCCTTGACCATGAAAATTCCATTTCTTGTATGATTTATAAAACCCATTAAACAAGATATGTCTTTCTACATCATTTACACGAAGCCATTTATCCACTTTACATGTCTTACATGGACACCGAATCTTTCCTTCTACCTGAGCTACCTTAGCAAAGTTAATGAATTGCATACAACCTTTGACATATTGAGTGTGGCATCGTGGAAGTTCTATCCAACTTGTATCCATATCTATACATAAAATATAATTTTGACCAAATAAATAGAAAATTTTAAAGCTTACTTATCAAAACAAATATCAATTTCTTCACAAACTAAAATACACAACAAAGCAAATTGTGGTAGCATACTTTTAGTTCATATATTTTGATCATAAAACTGAGGAAAGGTCAATCATTATAGCCATGCAATAGGAATAAAAGTTATAAGTATAGGATTTACTATATGAAATCTAACCTATTGATACAATTTTCATTGCATACTATTTAAACCTCACTATATAATAATAAAAAAAAATAAAAAAAATCACCCACAATTATATAATTAAACCAACGTAATCAAAGATGATGAACTATTGGAGATACCAAATAGTTATAAGTCACTAAGTTGCTTTGTCAAAGTCATTACAGACCATACAAACAAAATTACATGCTTACTTGGTACAGCATACAACAATCATAAAGCTTATCTCAAAACTAAGATGTCATAACTTGAACTAGTAGCATATAAGATGTGAGTAATACCTTGGTATAGATGTCTTCAAGAGTTTGCTAAACTAAGCAAGTAGTGACCAAAAGAATCCAAAAGGATGAATGCTGAAAAAAAAAATACAAGCAGTTCCACACATTAGATGATATATTATATAATATAAAGAATTATGTTCGAGTGAAAAAAAAAATAGGGGGGGGGGGAACTCAGAAGACACTTCAATTCAAAACAGTGATAACAAAAACAAATACAGTAATTCAATACTCATGCCAGAAATTTTAATAAAACAAAGAGATAGAAGACATCACAAGGTCCATCCTCAACTACATCTTGCAAAAGCAGCTTATCCCCAAATACGAAATATGTTTTATGCTACAAACTACAAGCAATGATACAAAAGCATAGAACAACAATAATCCAGTTTATTCAGTAATCCATAACAATGAAAGGCAAACAAAAAGACACCTTCCTTGTGATCATTACTCGAAACTATGATCAGTTAAATTTGGAGTTTACAGGAACAAATTTAAGTAGTTAAGCAGAATATAAATGAGTAAGAATCTGCCATATCTTAACTCCTTAAGATCAACTATACGAACAACATGATTCGATTCTTAATAGTTAATTGAATCTTTTCTCAGATATTGTTTAGCGTAATGACTTTTATACTCAAAGAAATAATCACAGAAATGGTAATTAAGCATTCCGTGATTTAAAAAAAAAAAAAAAAAAAAAAAAAAAAAAAAAAAAACCGAATCTTGTCTTTATTTTCACTTATCAGGACTCTATGGGGGTAAGACCCATGGTTTGGGTAGGATATATATGTTGTTCTTCTCTTAATTCCTGCAGCCAATGGAGACTACATTTGATGGCATAATTTCTAAGACATATTACCAGCATGCTCAAAACTCTGAATTCAAGCAGTCACTAACTGCTACATACATCTCTGTTCTCAGAAATTGATCACCTTTAAGAAAACTATTAAATATATCTAATTACATCAGAAAATAATATGAGATATATTTTGTAATCAATGTCACCAAAGTCAGCATACATCTCTATTTTTATAGTTATCCCATTTAGCCGAAGAAGGTAACAGACCATCGCCTATTATGAATCATCAAATAATTATTCATTAACTATGGATTTAGTTAAAGCTTAAGCTCAAAACTCACAGCCAACTATAGACATTCAAAGATACAAAACAGAAATTTTCATCCAGAACGATATTATATTTAGGCAGTGCGTTTGTACATTACCTCAAATTCTTGAAGCCGTTTCTCCTCCTGTTTAGCTTCTGATTTTCCACTTCTTTGCACTTCAAATACCACAGCTTCTCCTCAGATGACCTGTGCATAATTATGGTCAAAAATCTGCTGGCTAATTGTAGTTGTGCATTTTGTTTCAATTTAAAAAAGAATCTAAAGTTTGAAAGCAATGTATATGTAAACATTTAATTAAACAACTGATTGAATATGTATACATCTGAAAATTATCAAAAAGTTACAATTTTTAATAAAAATATGCATAATTCGAGACTTTGAGTAACAATTGCTAATGGGTATCCAATTCTTTACCAATAAAAAAGTTAGAATATAATTAACCAATTCAATAACTTAATTAATTCGTTAATCCAACCCATTCTTCAACTATAATCGGAGATTATAGTAATAATCATGCATGCAGCTATCAACATACAAAATAATTAAAGAAAAAAATTGGAAAAAAAAAAAAAAAAAAAAAAAAAAAAAAAAAAAACTTACGAGATCTTTGGGCTGAATCTTGATAAATTTTCTCCAACAAACAATAGAAATTAAACGATGAATCAAAACTCACAATACAAATTAACCCCAAAACTAAATTAAGAGAACTTTTTTGGCAAATTATGAAGAGTATTAAAGCTAACTGAAGAGGTAAAGTAAGAAGTGGGCTGAGATGATTATATGCTAACTGAGCGGCGATTTTTTTGTGAAGATTCAAAGTTTTTAGGCAACAAATCTGAGCGGCGAATAAGGTGTTATTGGCAACTGCTTAACAAAACCGTTCTGGGAGCTGATAGTGCAGTGAGGACGAACATGGGGTACAGTTTCCCGGGATATTAGATTAAAAATTTTGGTGAAATTTTAATTTCAGTGGGTTAGTTGTGTAAATGTGTACTTGATAGTTGGGTGACACGTTTCATAGCATTCAATATTATGACCCTTTTGAGGGACACAATATATTTTGGCTCTAAAATTAGTATAAATTACATAATAGTGGAAGAAGGAAAATTATGACCCATTACAAAAGTGTCAAGGCAAAAGCGTCAAAATTTACTCTATTTTCTTGTAGTGTCAGGTCAGCTGGAATAGCGGATTTGAGTGTCGAACTTGGATTCGGAGATACCGCGCTAAAGTTTCAAAGCGAAAATGGCGTTTTGCGAGAGTTCAAGCGTAAATCGGTGAAGGAATGAGGCAAGAATGCAAGTCAGGCCTTATGATTCCAGAAAAGGGAATTTCAAGGGTCGAAAAATTTAAATCTTTCTTAAATGCCTCCTTAAGTAACCGTTAAACCTTCTCTCCCTTAATTAACCGCCCATTATCCACTCAACTTCCCATTAATTATCCAAATTACAGTTATATAGTTAATGACTTTAAAATTTAAATCTTTTGATTTAATTAGATCATTTACTTCCCTCCATTTTTATTGGATTCAAACCCGATCCGTCATCCTTCCAAATCGGGTCTGGGGGCAAGTTGTTTGGGTCCAATTTAGCTAATTGGGCCTAGTCATTAATGATCCAATTCTCCAAGATCAAGGCCCAAGCCTGCAATCAAGCCAAGTCAGCAATAAGTCAGCTGGTCCAAATTGTTATGGTCAGCCCATGATTATTTGGGGCCCAATTGCTCTCCTCTCTTTGTATACAAAGGTATAAAAGCCTTTAATTACATCATTTGTCATAATCCACATAAAGCCTCAAGCATAAAATCTCTTGCATAGCTTTCTCTCTCTAAGCACTGTTTGACTTCGGCATTGGAGGGGTCTTCCTCGTATTCACCCCCGAGGCCAGTTTACGTGTGTTTGCTGTGCAGGAAACCTTCGGCCCAGCATCATTTGGACCGGACAAGTCTTCATCCACTTTATTGGACCTTCGGCAAGGTCCCATTGTTTTCATCCGAAACAGAAATTAACCTTGCTTAGGTAGAGCGTCTAGCAAAGATTGTGGAATAGGCGTATTCGGAAGAATGGTTTTCCAGAAATTCTTTTGGGTTGCTGCGTCGAATGCTTGGTCTAGTGCAAAACCAACCTGCACAAATGAATGTTACTAGAGCTCATTAGATTAACCAAATCTAGTAATTAAGTAGATTGATGAACATTAATTTGAACAATTGGGTTACTAATTATGGAAATCTTACAGAAATGGTTGTAATTAGTAACGTTATCGCGAAACTATACTTGAATGATTGGTCCATAGTGATTATTACTAAGCAAATTTTAAAGAGGTATACTTGTTTTAGAGATTTAAAGGGAAAGAACTAATCTGATTTATAGTAATGGCATAGGAGATTTGGGAGTTTGTTTTAGCAATCATGCAATGAGTGAGGAATTTGAGAGTAATTTTCAGTAGAAAATAAGCCTATTTTTAGAGGACATAGCGTTTGTGTGAACGATAAATAAATTAACCTACGTTTTAAGATTCTCAATTTCTCATACTTGTATAATATAAAATATTTAGCTATTTAATTACGAAATAATATGTAGAATTATTTGATGATCCTTATTACGAGTATTAATCGGAAACCTTCAAATAATATGTCACTACATAATTGATATGAACTATAAATGACATAACAAGCAGTGTATATGAGCCATGGCTTCAAGCCTTCATTATTGTTTCTTATGGTCAAAATTTTACCAATTTGATATTATTTGAAAGTTCATAGCTCATACTTGAAAAATTAATTGTTATTAAAATCTATAATGCCTACCTACTCCCTTTTACTTGATACCTTAATAATTTGGGAAATGGATTAAATTTTCAAGATGATTTAATGACATTTAGTTAAAGTATATGGGATATTCCTAGTCAAAACGACGATGAAAATATTTTAAATGCTTGAAAAACTCAAGTTCCAAATGTTAGGATAGAACAAAACCATTTGACACCACTCTTTTTCTTAGAGAATTTGGACACTCATATAGTCATGTACAACTATACAGGTATAACATATTACCCATACAACCTAATTACAAAATACCCTTTGATATACTCTCTTGATTTTAACCTGTTTTTAAGGTATTCGTAGTCATCTATAATGATTGTGATTTTGCTAAATTCGAAAATTATTTGATTCAAATTGCTATGAATGTCGGTATTGATTTATATTGTTGACTATGTAGAATGAGTATGACTTAAATTTTTATAAATCTTTAAAAAAAAATAAAAAATCTAACCTCTTTTACATTTTGACAAAGGTGTTGGATAGGGGACATGACAGGGAACAAGAAGGGATAAATGACAACGGTTTAACGAGCTTAGGTGGGCTTCATGTTCATACATGAGAAGGCAAGCTAAGTCCAAATAATATGGGCTTAGCCCTCCCATGGCTTGGACAATTTAAGATACAATAATGGGACCTTTAATTAACAAGTGGTCCATTACAGGCCAGACTTTAATACTAGGCCCACACTTAAGATCTTTATATAGTTGACAAAGGAAATGTCCCGGTTAATTATTGACACAGTCCCTTATAACTTATAAGTTCTCCTATTTGACTTTTTACGATATTTAATATATGTCTTATCATGTAAAAATTTCAATTGTAGTCTCCAGAGTGAGTTTAATTTGCTAAAGTGGCTGTTTTAAAATTTTATTGCATTATGATTTCAACCACCTACTTGGCCTTCAGGAGTTTTGTAAGATTCATATAAAGCATCTCGACCTCTTTTCTTTTCAAGCTTAAAAAAATTAAAAATTCTCAAATAACAAAGATTATAATCCACACTTTTGGGACAAATTCAAGCCTTTTTGAACTCTTAATTAAGGTGATCCCCAAGATCATAAATTTTGATTTTAAACCATAACTAACCTACCAATTAGTCAACAAAATTCCGAAAATAAATTCAGTTCGATCATGTAGTATTTTGAAATTCCTTTATTATTATAGTAATTCAAGTTGAACACGAAACCAAACACAAAGGTTACAACTTACAAGAAGGATTATTTCCAAGTTGGAAAATTGAATAGATGAGAAAGGTAGTACCCAAAAAGGAGGGAAATTAATTTTGACACACCCTTTATTGATTTTGGCACACCCCTATGTGAGAAGAGCATAGAAAATTGTGCTCTCACATAGGGGTGTGCCAAAATTAATTGAGAGTGTGCCAAAATCATTTCCGAAAAAGGAGGGTCACTCTAATTCAGTTGAAAAGATTGATTGAATGAAAAAACTAAATGCATGGGACAAATCTTAGGCATAGAAGTTAGAGGAAACAGTACTATGTCAGTATCAAAGCGTGTGCTTGTCTTCAAGAGAAACTACTCCCAAAATCAATTACACTCCTCATTTTTTCAAATCCACTTAACTTTTTTTTTTTCCTTCTTCATTTTCTTTTTTTTTTTAATTTTATGCTTTGAGGCTTGTTCTCTTCGTCTTAATTTCAGTTCAGTTCAGTTTAATTTTTAATTTCCTTCTCTCATAAATAATTCAGTTCAGCTCAATTCATTAAATGAGAACATGCCCTTAATTTCTTTCTCTTACAATGCATACACCATACATGCATTGCTGCCATTTAATTAAATTTGCTACTTCTTGAATACAAAGAAAATATACGGTAATTAATTTTTATTTATTGGGTGCAACGATTACATGCGAGGAAGCTCCAGTTAATTGTTTACGAATATGTCATATGATAAACTATAATTGTATATCTTGGAAATAAACCTATATTTAGCCATTACCTGCAAAGGAATAAAAAAGTAGATTTTATTGTGATTATAAGATTATTATAAATTGTTAGCATAATATGTAATTTAGCTTAGTTTTAGTTATTTTGACTTCTTTAATTTGGAAGATTTAACTCATTTCTGCTTGATTTATTATTGTGCATTTTACTTACATTTCCTTTTATATAAAACCTATTTAGGTAAGTTGAAAAAAAAATGAAGAAATTAAAAGAATATATGGTTGGAGGATGTAAGAGTTACAATAAATTCTTAAAGGGGGAAAACTAATTAACTTTAGGAGTTGATAAGGTAATAAATATAAGGTTGACTAGCTTGTCAAATTGTCCCCTTTTTAGGTTACCCTACAAGATTGATCACTTCATATCTACTCTTCTTTTACTACCATGTTTATGTTTTATGTTTGTGTTTGTGTTTGTGTTTGTGGTGGAATTTTATTTATGTTGTTGTTATCCACTACAAGTACTAGGGTGACCTGATGACCACTGATGACTAAGCTAGTGACCAGTGACCACTAATCCCAATTAACAAACTTTACAATTTTCCAAGATTTCAACTCAATGCGTTTATATGACTTTATGAGTACTTATTAGATCAAACAAATGTAGGTTTTTCTCACACTTGTATTGTTTATTTATAAAACTAGATATATAAGATAAATTGAACACACTTATTCTCAGCTCTGTGTATATGAATGTATGATACGCCATAATATTTTGTATTCATTCTTCCACAAATCTTATTTATGTATGAGTAACCAACTTTAAAGAAATTAGGTAATAGATCGGTAATGTATACTTTGTAGTTTTCTTAACAATCTATCATCCCGCCGTTCAAAAAAAAATATCATCCCGATAAAGATACATTTATGTATGAGTAATATAATAATTTAGCCTATGTACCTTTCATTTAAAATGTTCAAAGTGCTAGAAGGGTGTATAACATGATTTGTTCTATTAATCTATCAGACTAATGTGCTAATCATATAAGCTACTCTCTCTTATTCTCTTTTTTTAAAAAAATAAAAATAAAATAATAATATTTAGAAAGCCACAAGGGTGGGATGAGAATCGGTTCCATGATCGATTACCTGGAAGGCTGGAATCGAGAAGGGAGGTCTAACACTCTAACCACTTAAGTTATTCCTCACTCTCCTTTAAATTTCTTTGTTAAGTTGTTTGTTCTATTAATAATGTGAGAAGAACAAAAAGGATCGCCATTAATTTATGATATAGTAAGACATTTTGATCATCATCATCAT